CCATCCACTGGGCCAAAATCAAGGCTCAAAGGAGAGGGTCTCTCCAAGAAGCTGGGTGTCTTTGAAGGTGATCTATGTCATTTGAAGTTCAACAGGAAAGCCGATCCTACAATGACATCAACATATCACATGGGCTTCCCTGTAGACAAAGGCATAAAGAGACAGCTGAGTGAAACTATTCAGAGTCACCTAGGGGTACAAGATATTTGTACCTTAATAGAAATGGTATCTGTGGTGATGAAGTATGAGATGGACACCTCAGACAAATCAGCAGAAAGAAGGAAACCAAAAGCAACAGCTGTTATTGTACTTTGTACTCTCCTCGAGTAGATGCCTCCCATCGAGATAGGAGTCAGCAAAGAGCAGAGCCACAGCTGATATCTCCTGGTGTTGAGGCACAGAAAAACTGGTTCCCAGTGATTGAAAAAGGCTATCCAAGACCTCCCTTGATGTTTTTCGCCACAGCAAATACAGCTAAAGCCTCTGCCCAGATGCTGCTCAGGATGAGAGGACTATAGCATATGCTATGGTTGTGGGCAACAGGGCATTTCCATGTGAATTGCCCATATCTTGCCATCTAGAAAGATAAACGGATCCATTTGCCCCAACCAACTGCACAGCAGGTCAAGAGGGTTTGCAGCAGCCCATAGTTACTACCACTTAGTCTGTGGAAATTAATGGGTCTTAAGTTGATTATAGCCTCTCACTTGGGAGAGAGCAGCAGACAGTTTGTGCCAAAGGGTGCGGTGGTTAGTCTAGCTCTTTCAAGACTGGGTGGTTCTTTGTATATTCCAACAAATATACACATTAGGGCAATGGAGTTTCTGATTGATACAGGAGCTGCAATGAATTTTATTGATACTGCAGGTATTGGGTATACTCAATGAAGCCTCTGGCCAAGGAACATTCACTTCATTCTGGTAAACACTAGTATGCTAGATGTGAATGGAAAGGCACATCTCTGGCTATGTCTAGGATCTGGCATTTGTATCATTGAGATAAATGTTCCTCAGAAGCTCTCTATCAACATCTTTTGAATTTTGGTAGGAAATAAATCAAATGCCACTCAAAACCCACCCAGGAACAGTAGACCACTTATTCATAACTTGCTGAGGAAACAATAGTACATCAGTGTATGCAAGTGGTGTACCATGGTTTACTATGGACAAGGTCGAGTTGTTTAGCAGCATGTAACATAGTTGCTGAGCCAACTCGCTAAAGCAGGCAGCAGTAACATGGATAGTGACTATTGCTCTGTCATTATGAACAATCAGCAATTCAGCTTCCCACAGTAAAGGTCCTTGGAGTGGCAAGTAAAGTGAAGGTGACAAACACCAGCTGTAATGCTAGTGTTGCTTCCACTGCACCAAATCTGAAAGTGAAAACTCAGTTAACAGTGTATTTGAGGTTGCTATTTCAAGATTGGTGCAAAAATCTGGACTTAACACTGTAGCAAAGTCTCAGTGTTTTGTTTGCTAAGTATTGCAATAGATTTCTGTGACCAAATGGCTAACTGGATGTAACTACAATCACTTGCCACCAAATTAAAACAGGCAATATGAGTCTGATTAAACAACCAACGTACTTCCCTGGAGCACTAGGGATATAGCCAGCACAGAAATAAAACATATGTTAAAGGATGTAATCATTCAGCCCTCTAAGAATGCATGGTCATCTCCAGTGGTGATTGTCAGGAAGAACAAAGGCATGAGTGCTGGTTCTGTGTTGATTTCCACAGGATGAAGGCACGATGCAAACATGTTCATCAGGATGCACTGGAAGGTACCCAATGGTTCAGCACTCTAGACCTGTCCTCTGAATACTGGAAAATGAAAATGAGCGATGAGAGAAGGGCCAAAACGGCTTTTTGCACTCAAAGTGTGGTTTGTTTTTGAGGCCCAACTCATGCCATTTGGCTTGTAACATTTTCTAGAGGCTGATGGAGCTTACATTTAAATAGCTGCAATGGGAAAGCTACCTTGTATATGTGGAAGATGTCTTGGTATTTGGTTAAACATTTTAATCCTGATTTTACAAACCTGTCTATGGTTTTGCAGTTGATAAGAATGATTAAATTAAAGTTGAAACCTAGAAAATTTGCATTGATGCACACATACACAAGTAAAATTTCTTGGTCATATAAGGAGTAGAATAGGTGTCTCAACTGACCCTGTGAAGATTGAAGTTGTTTAAGACTGACTCCAACCTACGGCGAGATGAGAGTTTCAGTGTTTCCTATGGTTTGTTTCATATTATCAACGTTTCATGACTATTATTTGTAAGATTATCACACCAATGTTTACTTTCATTAAAGCTGATGCCATTTCATATGGAGGGAGGAGAATAAGCACACATTATTGTCCTTGCAGTGTGTGCTTTAGTGGAAGCTCTCATGCTGGTGTATCTATGACAGGATTGTGAGTTCCTGTTGAATACCAATTTCAGATATAGCAGAATTCGGGTAGTGCTGTTGTAGTTGCAGGATTGAACTGAATGATTGACAGCATACGTGAGCCATATATTCATAGCTCTTTACTACAGATACTATGTGATGAAGAAAACAACCGCTTCCAGTTTTAGTCTTCATTAAGCACTAATGATATTTCTTATATGATAGCAAATTCAAAATGAGGGTGGATCACTGATGTGACTCATGGACTTTAAAAATCTGTAAGGGATGATTACATGTTGAATCACAATACTGCAGGAATATGATACGGTCATATGACATCATTTGGGAGTGCAACACGGAAATATAGACAGCCTATATTTCTGCACGGTGAGACCACATCCATTTATTGAATGTCCTGATCTATAACACTGAGTTGAAGTAAAAACCATACAGAGGGCAATTCTACTGGTGACTGGATTTCAAAATTTATCCATTAAGAGTTGTGAGAAGAGCAACTGAGAGACCCAGAGCTAACATTGGTAGTCCTTGCCATGCAGAAAAGTAATAGATGGACAGTATTGTATGGTAACCACTCGATCATCTCAAGCTAGACCAGTTGCTTGGTCGATAAAATTATGACTAAAAGACCTCTGAAATCCTTGCTTTTCAAGCATTGAAATGATTTTCCATTGGAAAATGGTGGTGTGACATTTCGTGGAAATCGTCACCTTTATCCAGGTAGTTGTAGTTCTCCAAAACAGACCACAGAGTGCTCAAGAGAAAGTCTCACATGCGTACTTTACTATATTTTGACACCTACATGTGTTGTGAGAGTTGTGTTCTCTACAGGTGCAGAAAGCAGATTGAGTGTCTGAGAATTTCAGTGGAGTGGGTCTTATTTTATTGTGGTTACCTCTATTTACTTATCAGAGATTCCAAATAACATGAATGGGTGAACTTGTGTAAGGTGATACAGTGTTTCAATGGTCCGTGTTGGCAGCTGTTCCAGACAGTAAATGACCATTAACTCTTGTATTGTATTTAGATGAAATTGATTTCAAGGTGTATTGATGTACAAGGTAGCAATAAGATGAATATTAATTCTGTCGACAGCCATTTTGGCTGGATAGACTAGTACAGCTAACTTCCTCAAGAGATTATTTATTTTATAAGTTATTTAAAAACCTGTTGATTTTGACTACTCACAGATGGCTGCACGTTACCAACACGTGACTACCCAAGAACAGTTTATGAAGGTTGCTGGAATAGATTGTTATAGTTATGACACATATATCTAAAGTGGTCTTTCAAAAGCCACTAATGTATATGGTGAAGTTTGATATATACAAATATAGGTGTATGGCAGTATACATTTACGTATGTATGTATGAGTGGGTGAATTTTGCCGATATATATATATATATGAAACTTTACCTAAAGCTATTTATAAGTGTTGTACAATACAAAATTTTTTAATCACTGAAAGCACAGCCAATAGGCAACCTCTGAATGAGAATATAATGATTTAATCAGAATGTTAAGACTTTGAGTTAAAACGTTAAAGATGCTTATTCTCCATAAAGCATTATTTAGAGAAACAGTATGGCTGTTGTTTTTATTAATGCAGGTGTGAGAATGTTTTAATTTTGACATTAAAACAATTGGCAGGTAATGAATTTTGTGGAAAGAGATAATGATTCAATTGATTCAAACTGAAATCTGTGTGAGTAAGGTGAAATTATCTGTGAAACATGAATCAAAAAAGTATCACAGAACATATGTAAACTTGGTATACCAAGTGTTTTATTTGATTATGTGAAGTGTTTTCAATCATGCAGATTGAAATACTTCAAAAAGCACACCGTTTTCTAAATTTCTTCTAAACATTGTTCACCATAAGGGCAATTATGATGCAGACAATGCATGTAGCGCCAGTGGCGAGAAGTAACACCTTCATGGCAAGGTGTAGTGACCTTCTTCTGTGTTTACATATCGCTCAAGAAATTTGTAATGGAGACGAGGTGTTAGTGTTCACAAATTTCCGCAGTGCGAAAAATTAGGTTAGTGTTTGACCTATTATTTCGGTTAATAGTATGGATACCCATCCACACACCACCATTTCTTTCCCACTGGACCTAGGATCTGTTTAGTGTAACAACCAGATGATAGTGGATGGAACGTGGTAGGGTAGTTGTTGACCATCTTCTTGGCCATGACGATCTAGGAGAGCACAGGTGAAATTTAAGTTAAGTTCGAGGATACCTGTCTTGGCCGAATTGTCCGAAATCTTGAGCCTGTAGCCATGAAGTTGACTAAAGGATTATTTTTAGTTTTTGCACTCTGACCCTGAAAGAAACTTTAGTGAAAATCCTATGAAATCTGTACAAATATTGAAAAGGAAAACGTTAGGCAATATCTATCTGTACGCGCCATCCATTACAAACTACATTAAATTATATATATAATGATTTATTTTATTTTTCTGTAATTAATTGATAAACTTAATGTAGATATATATAAATTTATTTAATGTAAGTAATAGCACAATGCGTAATTCTACTAAAATATTAAAGATGGCGCTAATCTCATTGTAAATCTTGATCGATATTAATATGTATGACCTTAATAAAACTGGTTTAAAACAAGTTTATCCAGAATACTTTGAAACCGACAGCAGGGTAAAGAGGTCCAGTAGATTACAAGAAATATTTCCTGCCGATAGACTGCAACAAATGTTAATGGTAAGTGCAAAGAACTTTGTTTTAGGAATCCTATTAAATAATTGTTATCGAAAATATTTTGGTCTTGTATTAAAATAATTTCGCAATGTAATAACCTATAGTATATATCATAGATTTTTCTGCTAAAATATTTCACGTTATTTAATTAATAATAATAATAAGTAAACAGTTATACTGTTGTAACTTATAATAAAACTAGTAGCATTATTTAATTGAATTTAAAATCTAATTTGTTTACAATATATTGATACAGAGATCGGTTGTTTCAGTAAGCGAGTATAGGATAGTCTAATCAAAGGCTCAAAATGTCTATAATTCTTTATTCTTATGGAAGGTCTTGTCCCATATTAGCTTATAAAGACTCCTTCTTTTGATATAGAATGTAATAAAAATGTAGTTGTGAGATTATATACATAACATATTTATTTAACATTATTAGCACTTGTTACCCTTAGCGCTTCAAGTAATAAAATAATTTAAAAAGAGACTTAAAATAAAATATTCGTTTAGAGTTATTTATGCTTGTCGTGAGCATATCTAACAATAAAATAAAGAAATTTAGATCAAGAAAAAATATTTATTTAGGACTATTTACACAAAAGATTTGTAGAAGTTTGAAGTGGCGAGCATTTTATCAATACCTAACTGTCTAAAATGAGCACGCCGCTATAATCAGGGTTCAACAACAAAAAACAAACACAATTTATTTCCAATAATAACATTTAGAAGTAAATTCAACACAGTTAATAAACAAATGCCTTGCAAGAACTTCACATTAATATTGTTACGACAGCGGAAGTCATGCAACTCTGGGAGCATGCGCGCTGGAGTTTCTAGAAGGATTGTGACTTGTCAGGCAACCTCACGAATGTCCCAGCGTTTTTTAGTATATAAGCCGGAGATAGATTGAAGAGAAAACATTGAGTCAAGCGAACAGTAAACACCGTATGTAAAATGTGTGAATCGCTGTGAATTATAGCGTGTGTTTATAAAAATAGTTAAGTTAAAGTGACTGTGGAAATTCTGTGTATTGCAAAGTTGTATCGAGAAATAATAAACTAGTTTTCATTAAGAAAAGACTTGTATCGCTGAAGTTTCTCGGAAAGAATTTCTACGGGAAATTAACAAACAAGCAGATACGCAACAACATTGATACACAATTTATCATAAATATTAATAAATCAATAATAATGGAATCAAGAAAAGAACCAGAAAGAAAAATAAAACCTAATTTAAAAAATATAGAAGTATAATATTCAAATAATACCTTTCAGTATGGATAATAATATCGAATGATAAACAGCGATAACTATACCCTTCAATAACAATCTCGTGACTCTCTCTTTTAGTGAAGCTTCTAACAGGGTATTTATTCACAGGGTAGGTCACGAGAGTACAAACTCATGTTATCGTAAATTTACATACTCCTCTGCTACATTAATAGTACCTTTACGTCACCGCTAGGGAATCTGGTGTCAGTTATCATACACACGTATATATATTGACTCAAAATACATATGATTATGTAGAAGGTGAGTTAGCGTTTTAAAGCAACTAAAATACATAGATAAACTAAACGATAGAAGGAAACAATAAGTGTACGATAAACACAACCATAATAATAAAAAATACAATTCATCTCTCACACTTCTTCCCCTTGAAAAACGAAGTGATGACATTAATCACTTTTTATAAAATATCCCAATCTTTGTATGCTTACTTTTAACTCCCTCTTTATACTGACATCATGAATTCTTTACAGTTCAAGTACAGATATCTTACAAGAACAATACAATTCACGTTTTTAAATATTCAGTTAGATTTTTTATAGCTTCTGGCTCTGGTTGAGCTTACCGAAAGTTTAACACTCTGAAAACTAGCTAATTATGATAATTAATTCTGTGACGTGGTCATAATGTCCTTTGAGGAGGAGATAGAGGTAAGTCATCAGCAGGATCCATTGAAGAATGAAAAGTGAACACACCAGCAGAAGCACTTTTTCTTGTGGTGGAATTTTCGTTTTGCTGCAACTGGCTAGGACAATTACTATCTTCTTCACTGTCTAGAGAATTGTCACTGGGTAAATATATATAGTATTATAAATATATATATTAGAAGTATGAAATTGTCCTATAATTGCACCTGATCTAGGACCTATTGATATATACTCTAATGGAGTGACATACTTCGTAATTTCGAAAGGTCCATTCCACCTCTGAGCAAATTTTGCAGTAAAATTATTTACTGCAAAGGATAAAGGATGTGTACATATTTCAAGTAGATGATTTAGTATTATTAAGGACCAGACATCTAGACATATTTCAAGTAGATGATTTAGTATTATTAAGGCTAGATGTCTGGTCCTTAGACATCTAGACATATTTCAAGTAGATGATTTAGTATTATTCAGACATCTAGACATATTTAAAGTAGATGATTTAGTATTATTAAGGACCTTATGGTTGTAGGCTTGTCGCTGTCGCTCCTGAGACTTTTCAATGTTGAGTCTTGCCTTCTGTATGACATCTTGTAATTCTGCTGTTTGTTCATCGGTGGTTTGAGGTGTTGTTGGGTATCTCGTCAGTCTGTCCCAATTGAAGTTTGGATGGCGTGTAATCTGTAGACTCATGAATAGAAGTTGTAATGGCTAGAGAAAATTCAGATAAACGATTATCCCAAGTTCGATTATTTTTTCATATGAGCAGATATCATTCTACCAATATTTCTATTTACTCTTTCAGTACTGTTAGGCTGAGGATGATATGGAGTTATAAAGATATGTTTAATTCCCACAGCTTTACAAGTTTCTTCCATCGGATGAGACACAAATTGTGGGACATTATCAGATATATAAGTCTTAGGAGTACCACATATACACAAGTATTCATTAACTAGTTTTGACAATCACCTTCGAGGTTATTTGTTTGAGAGGATATAATTCAACCCATTTACTGAAATAATCTGTCACAACCAACAAATAACTATTTCCTGTCCTAGACTTAAGATAAGGCCCCATGATGTCTAGTCCTTTTATTTCACCAGGTTTCATTAGTTTAGTGCTTTGCCTAAATCCAGCTGGCTGTTTCTGATCAAATTTAGTGGTTGGACAAGCATGAGATGACAACACAATATTTAATGTCCTTTTTCATGCAAATTGATTAATATTGCCAGTCTTAATGTTTTGGGAATAACTGGTCTGAATTCAGCACTGCTAGTAAACCTTTTTGTGTAATAGAGAACATTATCATTTAAGTGTTTGGATTTATTTACAGTCTCTGCAATTATAGTAGAATCATCTGATAATAGTCCAGTTGTTAAATAAGAGTGTTATATATGCTTAAATTCATCAACATTAGCTTGTTCAGTTGCCAACTGTTCTCTAGTGTTAACACTGACAATGGCAAAAAGTTTAGGTGATAGCTTACTATATAGAATATCTGAAGGAATTTGGAATATAAGGGTGTTAGTTATGTTCAAATTTGTTCAAACTATTGTTCAAATTTGGAGTTTCTTCTAGGGTCAATAGGATTTCTAGATAGCACATTAGGGAACTGGTCCTCTTTCCCTTCTCTGTGCAGTATTTCAATTGTTAAGTCTTGTAATTTTATTGACCAGCACACCAGTCTACCAGTTAACTTCGGAGTCATCTGTAACCATTTCAAGGCAACGTGGCCAGTTATAACTCTGTAGTAGTATAGTTTCTTTCTGCAGACTTCAGTGTTCTACCGACATATGCTATGACACAGAACTGCTCCAAATCCAACATTTGAAGCATCAGCATGTTTACCTTTACTTGGAAGTTGTAAGACAGAGGATTCACATAAAGTCTGCTTTAATTTCTAGAATGCATCCTCACACTGGAGTCCATTTCCATCTAATACACTTTCTTCGTAATTGATTTAAAGGTTCAGCAATTGTACCAAAGTTTGGAATGAAATGATTGTACTAGACACACATACCCAAGAATGTGCTTTTAGAAACTTCTACAGTAAGATTAGCTGTATGTAGCTTGTAGAAAATCAATTCAAGGTCTTTCAACTGTTGTTTAATCAAATGGGGGTGAAAACACTATAATATCATCAATATAAGCCTTGGAACATTCAGTTGCTCCTGCTAAAGCCTCATCCATAAGTCTTTGGAAAGTGAAAGGTGCATTTTTAAGACCTAAAGGCATCAGTTTAAATTGATAAAGTCTGTTGTCCGTTATGAAAGCAGTTTCTTGTCGATCCTCCATTTTAATAAGTATTTGCTAATATCAAATGGATAAGTCTAAGGTACTGATACAGGTTGCTCTTGACAAAGCATTCAATATCTCATATATATAATGTAATGTATAGCGGTCAGATTCCGAGAATTGATTTAACTTACCGTAGTCAACACAGAATCTAAAATCATTAGACTTGCCAATAACTACTGAAGAAGCCCAAGAAGTAGAGGGTTCAATTAACCCACCACGAAGCATTTCATACAACTGATCATGTAGCACTTATGCTTAAGTGGGAGAATAATCGTAAGGTTTATTAAACACTGGCTTGTCATTAGTGGTTACAAATCTGTAAGGCCGGGTTTAGTGTTAAAAACATCTACATATTTCAACACAAGTTGCTTTAATTTTTCACAGTCTTTACTCCTTAAATGTGAACCTTGTATTTCTTCAATACGTATCTTTTCAGTCTCAAAGTCATGCCTAACAGATGACGCATTTAATTCAAAAACATTTGTGTGTGTGTGTTTATAATTAAGCACAAAGCTACACAATGGGCTATCTGTGCTCTGCCAACCACGGGTATCGAAACCCGGATTCTAGCATTGTAAGTCCGCAGACATACCGCTGTGCCACTGAGGGGCCTAGAATATCTGAAGGAATTTGGAATATAAGTTATGCGAAAACGTTTTACCTGAACTACCGAGTTGAAGGTATTGCAGCCAGCTAATAAAGTATGTACTTTAAGAACCGAAATATATTTTTGTTTATTTGTTTTAAGTATAAAATACGCCGT